CATCTGTACCTGCGGCGACTAATAACAGGAGCGACTTTCGCCCAAATACAAAACCTGTCAAATTGAGAGCCAGTTTGGTGTAGTGGTTAAGTGCGCAGACTCTAATCTGGGAGAACCGAGTCTGATTCCCCACTCCTCCACTTGCACCTGGCTGGATGACCTTGGGCAAGCCATAGTTCTGTCAGAGCTGTTCTTGAAAAAGAGCCGTTTCTGTCAGAGCTCTCTCAGCCCCACCTGCCTCACAGAGTTGTGGGGAGGGGAAGGGGTTTGGAAACCGCTCTGAGACTACGAGTGAAGGGCGGGGTATAAATCCAATCTCCTCCTCCTCTTTTTCTTCTCCTTCTTTGTTATCTTCATCTTCTTTGTCTTTGTCTTCACCAGTTTGGTGTAGTGGTTAAGTGCGCGGACTCTAATCTGGGAGAACCGGGTTTGATTCCCCACTCCTCCACTCACAGCTGCTGGATGACCTTGGGCAAGCCATAGTTCTGTCAGAGCTGTTCTTGAAAAAGAGCAGTTTCTGTCAAGAGCTCTCTCAGCCCCACCTGCCTCACAGGGTGTCTGTTGTGGGGAGGGGAAGGGAAAGGAGTTTGTAAGCCGCTCTGTGACTCCTTTGGGTAATGAAGGGTGGGGTATAAATCCAATCTCCTCCTCCTCCTCCTGGTTCGGCACGCTCAGGAGGCCGGAGTTTCTATAAACAGATACATTTTTGCATTCCCCAAACGACCCACTTCATCTTTGCGCCCCATGAGGAAAGCAGGCATTCGTCACTGTCAGAGGAACGCTCACAGAGACGTTGAAGGTGCTGCAGGGGAACTCTTCCTCCAGTACTCATATGGGGTGGGGAAAACTATTACTGGTCTTCTGAATTCTCACTGAGACAACTGCTGATTCAGAGAGGCTATTTAGCTGATGGGAGAGCTGCAGAAAGACATCAGCGAATCTTTCCTCATCCTGCGCGGGGGGTTGAGAGAGCTGACAGAGAGAACTTTTTCTCCCGTTCCCGAAATACTCGAACAAAGTCCCAAAATGCTAAAATAAAGTTCTCTTTGCCAGCTGTTGTGTTCCCTCTAAGCTGAGTTAGTGTGAGCTAGCTCACAGTTTTTTAGCCTCCGGCTCACACATTTTTGTCTCAGCTCAGGAAGGAGGGGTCCAGAGCAAACTAATTGATGCCGTAAGCAAATCGCTTGCTCACAACTTTAATGCCAGTGGCTCACAAAGTAGAATTTTTGCTCACAAGACTCCACAGCTTAGAGGGAACAAACTTCCCATCATTTTATAAATCTCTATCATGTCCCCTCTTAGTTGTCTCTTTTCTAAACTGAAAAATCTCCAGACTCTACAGCCTTGCCTCATAGGGAAGGGGCTCCAACCCCCTCATCATCTTGGTTGCCCCCTTCTGTACTTTTCCCGGCCTCTGCAATGTCCTTTTGAGGCACGGTGACCAGAACTGTACACAGTATACGAAATGAGGCCATGTCATAGATCTATACAGGGACCAGTGTTCCCTCTATGCTGAGTTAGTGTGAGCTAGCTCACAGTTTGTTAGCCTCTAGCTCACACATTTTGGTCTTAGCAAAGTCTTACATCATCAGGAAGGATGGTTCCAGAGCAGTCCTTCTAAGCTGAGTTAGTGTGAGCTAGCTCACAGTTTTTTAGCCTCTAGCTCACACGTTTTGTTCTTAGCTCAGGAAGAATGGCTCCAGAGCAAACTGATTTATGCAGTAGCCAAACTCCACAGCTTCTTCATTGCCTACGTGACAACACTCATGTGAGGCCTAGTGTGGAGCCTTACAGTCTAGGTTCTAGCATGGAAGTGTGAATAATGTGAGTTATAAAGTTGTTCAAGCCCATCTGGCCTCACCATTTGGCTTGCAACAGGAAATAAGGCACAGCATGTTATCAGAAAGACATCACAGGAGAAGGCAGAAGACTTTTAGAAATCAATATTTCTATACAACAGGGTCACCATAAGTTAGAAGCAGGTTGATGACACTTAACACACACACACACACACTCCAAAACTTTTAAATGGATGCTGTGGACTAAGATCCAGGTACTTAAAGAAATGTTGCTTGATTTCAAAATAACTTTGCTTCCAGGCTGGGCAGTGGAGCCATACTAGGAACTGGATGTGTCGTGTAAGACACAGTCTCTAAACTAGGAGTTCTGCAGTGAGTTGCTAAGACACAGAATATAGATTCAGGTGGGTAGTCGCGTTGGTCTGAAGCAACAGAACAAAGTTTGAGTCCAGTGGCACCCCTCAGACCAACAAAATTTAATTCTATAAGCTTTTGTGTGCATGCACACTTTTTCAGATCTGAAGAAGCGTGCATGCACAGAGCAGCTTATACCCAGAATTAAACTTTGTGGGTCTGAAAGGTGCCACTGGACGCAAACTTTGTTCTAAGACACAGAAGGTTCGCTCTGATGACAGGCAGGATTGATACCACTATTTCTACCAGGCCTGGCCAATCCGGAAGTTCCATATTGTTTGTCAGTCACGGTGGCTGGTGCGGCACACCGCTATTTCCTTTACGCACACAGTGCTCTGAGGACTCCCAATATGTGTCTTGCATACTACACTATCCCCTAACCACAGACAATGAGGTTTGCAGTTTGAGCACCAAGGTCGCCTGGCAAGTTGTTCTGCAGCACAACTGGCTTTTGTATGCTGGCCCATGACTGCAACCTCTCGCCTGTTCCCGTCAGTGACCCGGGCGGGAGACAGATCTCACCGCGCCACAGTGCCGCGCTCACTGAACGACTTGTCTGTGCTCCCAGCGAGGTGATGAGGCTGCAGATCCAAACTGTTGTTCATAAATTGTTAATATTGTTTCCTGTTCTAACGGACTGACTGGGAACGCTGCCAAGAAGTGAAAGCCAAAGGGGCCCACAGTTCAGACTTCCATATAAATGTGGGAAAAGAGATGGGGGGGGGGGAAACCCAAACATTTAAAGAAATCAATTAAACACCTGGTGAAAAAATAAAACAAAATGACCAGTCGTATATGTAGAAGGTAAATGGTATTTTTTGTTGGTTAGGGTTGCCAGCCTCCAGGCGGTGTCTGGAGTTCTCCTGTTACTACAATTGATCTCCAGATGATTCAAGATCGGCTCCCCTGGAGAAAATGGCTGCTTTGGAGGGCGGACTGTATGCCATTGGACCCTGCTGAGGCCCCTCCCCTCCCCAAACCCCACCCTCTCCTGGCTCCACCCCCAAAGTCTCCAGGTATTTTCCAACCCAGACCTAGCAACCCTAGCAGATGTAGCTATACATGGACTACTAATGGTATTAAAGGTCATGGATTTGTCTAATCTTTTCTTCTAAAGCTATTGGCTATCACCCCAAGTCATGGAAGTGAACTCCATGATTTAATTTGTAGAAGAATACTTTTGTCTTTTCACCAGTCCCAAAGCTACTGCCGGAAGGAAGGTGGCATGTTTTTTTGTTTTTTTAATTTATTAATTCAATTTATACCCCACCCTCCCCGTGTAGGCGGGCTCAGGTCACTTTACACAACATTTCATAAAAATGCAATTAAAACCTACCGTATATATCAATATGGCCTGATCCCATTGGATCTCAGAAACTAAGCAGGGTCAGCACTTGGAGAGGAGACCATCAAGAAAGGCCCTGCAGAGGAAGGCAATGGCCAGCCACCTCTGCTTCTCACTGGCCTTGAAGGCCCCTTGCCTTGGTCTGGTATAATATTCAATAATCCATCACAGGTTTTATGTTAATTCCAGGATTCTAGACTCTGGAGCTGTTCCAGTCCAGGTTTTACTCATGTCTGGAGATGAACTAGCTAGAACAGGGGTGTCAAACATGCGGCCTGAGGGCCAGATCAGGCCCACAGTGCAACTGGTTGTCTTCTGCTTCTTCTTTCAGTTCTGCTGCTGCGTCATTGTAGGTATGCAGCTTGAGTATGAACAGCATACTCAAGATTGCCACAGACATTTTGATGTAATAATTCAGAGCAAGAGGTGTCAGTTATTAGACACTGTTAAATAAACAAAATATTGCAAGAGTGCTAATGTTTTAAGCATGTTTTTCTTTTAAGTAAAAACAAAACCCTCTGTGTTCGTGTCCTTTATGAAGTTTAGATCTCCGCTACCTGGCATTACATTTTATTTATTTATTTTAAATATTTGTATCGTTTTTCACCAATATAGAAAGAAACATAGGTATATATAATGACATGCATCAAGAACGAATCATATTGAAATCACTAAACACATTGTATCCTTATAGACTTGTTACAATATATAAGAACAACAAATACTTTTTACCAAACTTTAAACTAGATCCAGCGTGAAAAGTGTATGTAATACACTTTTTACTAATTTGTGTGGTGTCTAAGAGTTGATGCAAGAATTCACAACTAGTCAGTAAGGTGTTTAAACTACAGAGGTATTGCTTATACAAAGCGTGCTTTATGAGTGTAAAAAAGTGAGATAGATTGGATTGGATGGTTGGCATTCTGTTTTTAGGATATATTCCAAGAATGGGAGCCATTTCTCATTAAAACTTGACTATCTAGGATATATTTCAGATTGTTGCAATCGGTCAGTGATCTTCTCCATAATGTAGTGGTCGCAGATTTTATTAATAACTTAAAACTACCTGGCATTACATTTTATGACACACATGGCCTGGCCCAACAAGGTCTCATTTATGTCAGATCCAGCTCTCGTAACAAATGAGCTCGACACTCCTGAGCTAGAAGAACTGCTGTGAAGAACTCTGGTTGGCCTTGTGTTCCTTCACTCATTCATCCTGTATAAAGGCCCTAAGTGTTTATTAAAGAGACCATCAGCATCTTCCTGGACAACTGCAGCATCTTACAAGTTGCCATAAGTCAGCTGCTACTTGACGGCATGTACATATATAAAATTAGTGCCCACAGACATCACTGGATGACCCTGAGGTCAACACTGTAAGGTACGAGCCCTGCTCCAAGTCTGGCAAAGGTAACGGAAGCAGATCGCCTGCCACTTACTTTCTGGAGGATGATGTGGGACATGGAAGCATTGGCGTGCACAATGATGGTGGCTGTCTTGTCATCCCTGATCTCCTTCAGCAGCGGCGTCGGGTCCCAGCTGTCGTCCAGCATCCGGACCGAGAGCGTTTCCTTGGAGATAAGGAACTGGCGGAGCAACTTCTCCAAGTTCAGAAGGCCTGGGGGCAAGAGGAAAAACATCAAAACAAAAACCCCTTTGAACATGCTGACTTTGTCCGAGTTTCTCCTTCCTACAGCCTTGGTAACCAGCGCTGGAAAAAAATACCGCAAGACGACAATATACTGCAGTATGAATCTGTGTGTACAGAGCCCCTCTAAGATTGAAAGAGAGAAAGCAGGACATAACCTTGTTTGACCATTTGGGATCAAGTCACCAGAAGAAGAAGAAGAGGAGGAGGAGGAGAAGAAGAGGAAGAGGAGGAGGAGGAGGAGATTGGATTTATACCCCACCCTTCACTACCTGAAGGAGTCTCAGAGCAGCTTACAATCTCCTTTCCCTCCCCCTCCCCACAACATACACTCTGGGAGGTAGGTGGGGCTGAGAGAGCTCTTCAAGAACTGCCCTTGAGAGAACAGCTCTGACCAGAACTTGTGACTGACCCAAGGTCACACCAGCAGCTGCATGTGGAGGAGTGGGGAATCAAACCCGGTCCTCCCAGATTAGAGTCCGTGCTCCTAACTACTACACCTAACTGGATCTCTTTAATGAGAGATTATTATAATGAGTCTGCCAGCCAGAAATGCTGGAGTTGACTGGAGTGGTCTATAGGGACCATATCACTTCAGTCTTGGCCCTTCTACACTGGCTTCCGATTTTGTTTCTGGGCACAATTCAAGGTGCCGGTCTTGACCTTCAAAACCCGATATGGTTTGGGTCCAACATACCTGAAGGACTGCCTATTCCCTTATGAACCCACCTGACCACTACAAGTCATCTTCACAGGTCCTGCTACTTCCCCCCTCGCCTTCTGAGGTTAGATGGGCGGTAAACCGGGACAGGGCCTTCTTGCTCATGGCACGAAAACTCTGGAAGTCTCTCCCCAGAGAGAGTCATATGTCCCCTTCTGTAGCCATCTTCAGGCGGCAGGTGAAGACTTTTTGTCTCATTTGGCATTCCCTCCACCATCCCTCCTTCCTAACCAATGTTTCAATTGCTGTTTTGATGTCATAGAATCCTAGACTCACAGAGTTGGAAGGGGCCATGTAGGCCATCTAGTCCAACCCCATGCTCAGTGCAGGATCAGCCAAGAGCATCCCTGACAAGGGTTTGTCCTGCTGATGCTTAGAGACCGCCAGCGAGGGAGAGCTCACCACCTCCCAAGGTAGCTGATTCCACTGTGGCACAACTCTGACTGTCAAAAAGTTTTCCCTAAGATCCAGCTGGTACCTTCCCACCCTTGATTTCAACCCATGATGGCGAGTTCTCTCCTCTGCTGCCAACAGGAACAACTCCCTACCCTCCTGTGAGTGAGAGCCCTTCAAGTACTTCAAGAGAGCCATCCTGTCCCTAAGAACATAAGAACATAAGAGATGCCAATGTTGGATCAGGCCAAAGGCCCATCCAGTCCAACACTCTGTATCACACAGTGACCAGAAATACCAGTGCCATCAGGAGGTCCACCAGTGGGGCCAGGACATTAGAAGCCCTCCCACTGTTGACCCCCCCAAGCACCAAGATGACAGAGCATCACTTGCCCCAGAGTCCCTATCTATACCTTGTGGCTAATAGCCACTGATGGACCTCTGCTCCATATGCTTATCTAATTCCCTTTTGAAGCCGTCCATGCTTGTAGCCACCACCACTTCCTGTGGCAGTGAATTCCAAGTGTTAATCACTCTTTGGGTGAAGAAGGACGTCCT